CTGTCGCGGTTCGAGTCCCGCTGAGGGTGTTAATAAGACCAATGCGAGGTCCACTTCAGCCTGGATGAGAACAACCTTTCGAAAATCAAGGCTATGTAAAAATTCAATGGAAACGTCAGCCCAACTCATATCATTTGTGGGAAATTGGGTGAATACATCGTCACTAGTTCCATACAAATACCGATCAAAAATGCTGTTTCTATGCACTCGAGCATAACCGGCGCCTAAGACTCCATAAAGCACTCTCAATTAGTTACCGAGACCTGTTCTTTAGACATTCCGTCTAAAGGTCCACTTTTTCACAAAATACTGGCAACCATTTTAGCAACCCCTAAGCTGGTCGTGAGAACCGCAGTCACTCAACAACCGGATCTGAAAGTATTCTACGAAGACAACTCTTTTTTTTCCAGTTGTGACCGAGCGCAGTTTACGAAGAATTTTTCGCAGCGACATGTGCGACATTTTATTTTCATAAAAAGTAAGTTCACAGCTTTACAGCATACTACTTCAACTTCTTCAAAGTAATGTCGCAAATTGCATAATTGTTATTAATCGCTTTACTACTCATAATCAATACGAGTAGTATTATCCTATATTTAAATGTGTATAACCAGGCCATTTATAAACCTATAGGCAGTCACTTTCGACAATGTTCAGTGGAACTCGTGTTGATACAGCCGGGTTCAGATAAGAATGGATTAGCCTGTCTCCACTCCTGTCCACTGACACACTTGCTCAACCTGTTGGTGTCCCTTTGTTTAGCGCGTCTGTTGCTAGTTGCTAGGCTCTGGCGAGGCTGAAGGGGGCTTTAGTGTTGGGCATTGAGCTCGGCCGTAGTAATGCTGCCACATGCAAATTGGTAGGAGGAAAACTTGTGGAAAATTGTACACTTGCATAGTCATGGAGTGGGTGCATGTCGGGGCTGGAACAGTAAAAAAAGCTGTACATGAAATGGACACGTGACGGAGGGGAGGGCGTGAATGACGGGCGTGTGAGGGGACATGGTGAATCTGGATGGCTGTTCCGGCCAAGTTGCCCACCGGCGGGTTTTACAGCCCATTCCAGTCTGGGGTCACACTTCATGCGTATTGTTCCACAGACTGGCCGTCTCTTCGGTACCACCTTTTCATCTGTTAATGGCTTCTTTTGCGGAGCACCATGTGCTCTGGTACCCGGTTCGCCGTCTGAAGCGGAGCCTGAGGGGCGTTATGGACGGCACACTCATAAATGTGTGCATGGCCTCGGGTCGGGTGTAGAAAATGCAAAAAATCCGACCTATTTAACATTTTCAACATTTAAGGGCTCTCTGTTCGTCTGCACAAGTACCGGCTGAGGCCATCATTAGGCGGTAGGTTCTCGTCCAGTCCTGACCTTGAGTCGACGCCGAATGCTTCACAGAAGTGGAGACGAATGTGCGTCTTCAGGTTGTCTACAAGCCGACTTCGAGTCCCGACTGACGTGGAAAGCTCATTTGAAGGCTTTCCACGGATTCCGGCCCTATCCTATACATTATCATGTTTTTTTATTAGTGACATATATCACACACGAATGAAGGAGAAAATGTGTTTCATAGCCACTTTCACGCAACCGTCAAATTCACATGGAACCCCGTGTTTGCTGAAATTGTCTACCCGATGCTTGTAAAGGTGCAAATAGGAAGTAAAGTGTGATACGGCTGTGC